TTATATGTTTATATTTGTTTATATATTTTTCGTCTTCGATAAGAAACAAAAAATAATTAGAAATAAATAAATACTTTCGTTTGAACGAAAATGTATCTTGCCAAAGAATAGGAATCGAAATTTAGTTTAATTTTTTAAACCCGAATTTTTTGTCTTCGACAAGAAACGAAAAATAATTAAAAATGAATAAAGGCTTCATTCGAACTAAAATAGATCTGCCAAAGAATAGAATTGGAAATTTATGCAATTTTTTAAACCCGAATTTTCGTCGAAAAAGAATAAAGGCTTCTTTTGAGCGAAATGAATTTTGCCAAATAATGGGAATTGAAATTTAAGTGCGACAAGTATTCATGTCAATATTTAGTCTTATTGAAATATAAGTTTTATATTAGTCATCAGATCATGTAACTGATATATCTGTTACTAAATCTTATTATTATCGTTATTATTCCTGAAATCTATAGCTTAACTGAATCGGCAGAAAAATCATTCAAGCAAATTTTCATAGGTGTCCCAGGAATTATGATAATAGCTGTAATATATTGATCGGCTATAGCCGCAGCTCAACCGGCTATAAGCTGCTAGCCCTAGGCTCGCTAGTGGAGTACATGACGTTGGATATTGTTGTCAAAATGAAATGTATTTCATCATGGATTTCTGATACGAGACATCTCAGAAATTTCATATCAAGAATCAATATTGGAATACTTTAATTTTTCCTTAAAATTATGGCAATAATAAAGTTTATCCGAATACTAGCTCATAAATCAATATTAATATTGGTAAACAGCTTACAATTCTGATTTGTTCTAACAGACTTGATTTTATCATGTAGGTCATTTCTCAATAACACATATATGAAGAATGTAATAAAATTTACGTGATAAATGTAATAAAATTTTTATAGTTATTTCCATCAATCATTTTTACAGAAAAGATTTTTTTTAAAAAATATGGCATGTCAACTAAATACCTTTCTTTATTAATGGCTTGGATTTACCTGTACTTTGTACTAGATTTAGTACATCTTGTAAACTAAATAATTTGACAATTTTATAATTTACTACTCTATTAAATACTATTTTAAAGTATTTTAGAATAGGGGTAATTCTATAAAAAAGTTTTATAGTTTCAAATATTTTTTTTGGATTTTATACAATTTTTTTTGAATATTTTTAACTTGTGCCAGTGGTTAAAGAATATCATATTATATAAAAAAAATATTTTATATAAAAACTCCTATTTGCACACTAACCCTAAGTTTTAATAGGAGTGGTTATTTTTAACCAGTGGTGTAAATAATAATAATTCTTTTTTTTCAGTTTAAAAATTTTAGATAAAGTTAATTTTATATAGTAATTACTAGTAACCTTAGTAGATATTTTCATTTATAAATTTTTTTTTATTAAATAAATTTATCTAAAATTTTAATTAATTATAAAAATAAGTTAGCTAATATCAAATATAAAATTAGTTTATAAATTAAACTAAGAAGTAATTTCAATTTTAAGTTTTTACTAGTAAATACTATATAAATATTTTTAAAATTTATATATAAAAAATGTGTGATTTTTTAAAATTTAAAGTAAAATAACTTATTATAAACTTATTTAACATCAGAGATTTTTTGTAATTAAAATTAGAAGATAAATTTTATACCTTTCAATTAAATTTTAAAATTTTAATCAATAAAAATTTTTTTAAGTCTAGCTAAACTTATATGGCTTATTAATAACTTACTATAAATAGTAATGATTTATAGTAAATAAAAAAGAGCTTATAATATAAACAATAATACGACAGGGTGAAACCCATAATAGAAACATGTGAAAGTAGTTACATTATTGATGCAGATCACTACCTATAATAGCAACTACTCTATCACTAATTCTAACTAAGTAAGATCTGCATCAACAATGTAACTATCTCTGTTGCCCTTTCATATAATAATATATTTTATTGTCCAGAGTAGTGTTAGATATCTAATGTTCTCATTGTTCTCAAGAACATTATTTTTAAAAATTATGTTCTCTTTTGAGAACCAACTAAGAACATAAAATTTATAATTTATGTTCTTATATGATATATAGAAAATATAAAATTTCTCTTTTTTTTATATTTTTTTTATATTTTTTATCATTTAAGAACTTTAAAATATTTGTAAGAACATAAAATTATCAATTTATATTCTCAAAACACTAAAAAAAAGTTCCAGAAATTTAACACTGGTCCGGAGCGTAGCAAAGGACTTTTATTGTCTATGCAAAGTGATACCAAAATTTTGTTTTTGATGCATTGTAGATCAAAATATCAAAAACATAACTTTGCAATTTCCGTCTGTTCATTTCCGTGATGCTGATTGGTTAAATATATGATGATCACTCACATGATAGCTCTGGACACATAATGCTATGCATTGCCTAGTATAATTACACTTTTAGTTTACAAATTTTATTAGTAAATTATAATTGTAATTAGCCTTAATGGTGTACTAAATTTAGTACATTAAAAACTACAAAAAATACAAAGTTTAAAAAAATTTTTTTTACAATAATTTTATTATTAATACAAAAAAAATATTGCTAAACAATTTTTAAATATTTATCAAATTTTGTATATAAAAAAATTAAACTTCAAATTTTCTGATTTTTTGAGTTTTGAAAAATGTACTAAATTTAGTACAAAACAGTAAATCCAATCCATTAATGATATGAATTCATCTTCATGATAATTTTAAAATTTCGTTATCGGCTATCTTTTAATCATCTTGATTGATCTTATCATTATAATTTGTGTACTCTAATGTTTTCGAAAAAAAATCTATAAGTATCTCAAAATTATTCCACTTTTTAAGTTCAAAATTAACAAATACAAAATTGCTAAATTATGGATAATCAAAGATGTTTTCTTATCCTAATGTCAATTCTCTACATTTTATGCCTGGTTAATGTACAACAAAATGCCGGATCACTTCCTATTTCGTTTCCCAGCAAACTTGGAGGACTATCAAAAAGCACACCTCAACCTTCTGCGCCTGATGGAGAAAATCCGATAAAAACATACCCAATCCGGTACAAGCATGCTGCCATCACATAATAAAGTAACGGAACAACCGGCAGAACATATTATATCACAACCTATAAATCCACATAAGATTTCACCACCGAAAACTTCTGTAGCAGTCACTTCAAATACACCTAAACCTTCAGGTGCTACAGCAGGTAATGCAACGACATCGTCATCTTGGTTTACATTTAATGTTTGCTAGTGGGATAGTTGGAACTTTTGTATGGTTAGGTAGTCATTCCTTCTGATAATAGAAATATTCGGATTTAATTGTAATAATTGTAAAAAAAAAAATTTTGTAACGTTTTATCTTATTTTTATCTATAACACAATAAGCATATATTTAAAATAACATCGATATAAAGCTCTATAAAAATTTACAGAGTTCAATTTGTAAAACTAAAATTTGAATTATAATGACAAGGTAAGTGTCATTTAGTCTAATGCTAAACACAATTGATCGAAGAGTACTTTGCAGATTCGATTTTCACCCATCGAGTGCATTGGTTACAAAAGAGTGACTTGACTTCTCAAGAAACATATTTGTTTGAGTATTGATACTACTGTAATACATGATAATATAGATTTTTATGTAATTGTAAAATTTAAAATTTGACAAACGAAAATTCTTGTCAATTTAATGAGCAATAATATACATAAAAAATGTGATATCGTTAATATTATAAATAATCGATACATGTGTTAATTTTCTAACTTTTAATATCTTCCAAAGATTTTTCCAGGAATCTCTATTTTTAACCTATTACACCATTTTTTTAACATTAGATTTTTTATCCCACAAATCAGAATGATTAATCAGAATGATTGGCAATAAGTATTTGGATAATGGAAGAGATCAGCCAAAGAAAATTTTCTATTTAAATATTCTTTCCTTCTAAAAGCTTATCATAAGCATTTAAGACTTCTTCAGTTTCTCAGGGCGCGCTTAACTACTACGGGACACGTATATATTTCGTATATATTTCTTGAAATAAAATTTTTGAAACAGGTGAATTAAAGTAACTTGATTTATAAGAAATTAATTGTTTAACTAAACCAGCTTCGTGAATATCATGAGGAATTAAGATTGTATTGTTGTGTTTGCCTTAATATTTGGATGTTAGATAGCGATAAATTGCACGAGATTCAGTAATTTTAAAATCATCATCGTAAAGGACTGGTATAATTAATGTTAACTAGTTAATAATTATGTACTTCATTATGTGAAATATTAAGTTGCAAATCAGAGGATTTTGAATAGACATATTTACAAAGGGTGTTTATTAGCGAGATAATCCTTATCTTTTAAACCAGCGTAACCACCGGCTTGCGGTGTTAATTTATAAGAAAGACCTATTTCATTAAGACATGTAATAACTCTGAGGGTACAAATTGAGTCACCGAATCCGATGAGCCTGATGGCCATTTATTTCGTTTGTCTTAAAAGAAGGCAAGAAAAGCAACATAAACATTATTTGAAGCGTTTTTGGTATTCCATTTATACATAAATGAGGTTAATGTTCTGTTATGGGACAGTGTTACTATAAATATCTGTGAAACTCAAAATTAATTCATGGAAAAATTTACTACAATCGTACGTACCTTCTATTCTACTATTCGAATTAATGAAAATAAAAAATTATATCGATTTAACGAGAATAAAAATATATTATTCAAGTTTGTGGCATTTATCTTTTAAATCATGTATCTCATTAGGTTCAGTGAATGAAAATAAAGATTATATACAGCATTAATCAAGCGTAACGTCAAAAATTTTCAGGGTCTGCAAGTATCGATCTATATGTTTTGTGAAAAAAAGACAGTTTTCACTTCAAAGTTAACATTTGATCTTACAATTTAGTTAGTATTCTTTATTATTCCAAAAAATTTTTGTTATTTCATATTTTATACTATGTTTTTACGCCAAAAACTTTTAAAGTATCCTTGGTGTTTTGGGAAATCAAACTTGAAATTTGATTGGTTAACACTCACATTATTATCTACATAAGCTTAATGCTAGCATTTAATTATTCTCATTTATCTATTTTATTGAATATAGATTGAGTTGTCATTAGACCATTTAAAGATCTCGCTTTCAAGACCCAATCATTGCTTAGAGGTTTTTTTACATATTTTAATATAGTCACCTGATAATGGCTAAATGGTATTTAAATTTCATTAGAAAATGTAAAGAGAATAATTTTCACTTAATTTTCATTTTCTAACTAGATATTATTTTAAGGATTAATTAAAAAATATTGATCACAGTTCAAGATAAAATATAATTTTGATTTAGATTATACTAGGAAACAGGAACTATTAAGGTCCGGAGCATTAGTATTTAGATTTTAATTTTATAGCTTTCCTCTAAAAAAATTACAATATATCATTTAAAGCAACAAGGCTACCACCAACAACAATAATAAAGATAATTTTGATATTTATCATTTCAATATCTTTTTTCTCTTTATACACGTACATACATGAATATATATAACAATTGCTGAATTATTATAGCATGTCAACAATAAATAAAATGCATCCAATTCAACAATTCCTTTTATTGGCTGCTTCGCATCCAATAACTTGATTTAATAATCTAAATACAAATATAAAAATGAGCAATAAATTTGGTTATTAATAAGTAAACCAAATATTACTTACCGTCGGGAACTTCAAATTTAATGCGTTGACTGGGTTGGCTTGCTAAAATACATACATATAAATATACTAACATTACAGTTTAAATCAAATTTAAGAAAATAAATGTTATTACCTGCATTTACTATATTGACAGATTCAGAAATTATTACAATTGATAACATATTACTAAATTTTTAAAAATATGAATAAATTTATTACCTGGTTTAGGGAGTTTGGAAAGATTCAAAAATCGACTTGTATAAATAGCTTGTGGATGTGTCTGATATTT